ATGAGCCTATCTATCTATCTATCTATCTATCTATCTATCTATCTTAGTACATTCATGTATCTAAGAATACTCATATCTATCTATCCATCTATTTTAGTATCTTCATACATTTAAGAACCTTCACATCTATCTATCTATCTATCTATCTATCTATCTATTATGGTAATTTACCCACGCACACATGGACCCTTCCAGGTATAAATAGGAGCAGGTACTGCCTTTTGGAGAGGGAATTTTTCAGCAGTCAGCTCTGACAGTCGGACCGAACATTCTTGCTGTAACACTCACGTTTATATATGTTTGTATTATGGTTTTCTGCTAATATATTTATTTAACTCAATTCCCCTCTTTGTGTCTTTATTTCTGGTCCTAACAAGGCCACAACACTATCTATCTATCTTAGTCTGTCCTTATATCTAAGAATTTTCACTACTATCTATCTATCTCATTCTGTTCTTATTTATGGATCTACCTATACAGGTGATATAATGGATAACAGCTAGCAATGAGAAAATCGGAGGAGGAGTTCGAATTCCAGTCGGGTTCGTTACACTCATTTAGGCGCAAATACCCCCTAGGAAAGTCACGAATCCTCCCCACAACCAGCTATGACTTAATAGTTGGCTGTGTCTTTGGAAAAAGCATTTTTATTTCAAACATCTTTAAGCTAATATTAACTGACACAAAAATAGAATTAATCTTACCACTAAAATGGTCCAGCTTTAAATAACAAAAGGTAGATAAGTCGTAAAAAACAAAACAATTATCTATCTAGATGCACATATGTACTTCTGTATTTCTCAAAAGTATGAATTATATATATATATATATATATATATATATATATATATATATATATATACGTGTGTGTGTGTGTATCCAATGCGATCAGAACGAAAGTAATATATAAATTCAACGTTCACAACATTAATCTAAAAGAGGGCTCGATACCGATAGTAGAGTGGTAATTATTTATTTATTATAATTTTATCATATAGACAAAACCATTTTACTCACTACAAAGATGCAACTTGGTTTAAGTGCATTTCAACTGCACTTCGACGGGTGAGAATCGAAAATGGTTACCAATTTATATATATATATATATATATATATATATATATATATATATACACACTTATAGTTATAAATGTATATATAAATCAAAATAATTAGCAAATGTATATGCGTGCGTTAGCGTTCATACACAGATAAGCGAATAGGTATTTACTCAATTTTTATATACGGTATAAACAAAACAGTGCTCAATGTGGTTAGACAGAGCGAAGAAGTATATATTAATAAATATACATATACCTACGTTCGTAGTGCAACTTAAACATTCGTTGTTTTACTGACTCATCAGTATTTCTCATTACTGTTACGTGCCTGATGAGTTGCTAAGACAACGAAACGTATGTACACACACACACACACATATATATATATATATATGTGTGTGTGTGCGTGTGTGTGTGTGTGTGTGTGTGTATTTATGTATATACACTGTAATGAGAACGAAAATAATATATAAATTCTAACGTTCACAATATTAATCCAAAAGAGGGCTCAATACCGATAGTTGAGCGATAATTATTTATTATAATTTATTCATATCGACAAAAACAGTTTACAAACTACAAAGATGCAACTTCGTTTCAGTGCATTTCAACTGCACCTCGACGGGTCAGAACCGAAAATGGTTATGAACAATTCTGCTTGTAAGCAAGCCGTATGTAAAACGTGATTTCCTTTTTTTTTTTTTTTCTATTTCTAGGAGAAAAAATATACATGAAGCAAAAAGGTGACGGAGTGAAAGAATAGTGCTTGTTTTATAGCAGTTTGGTGAAGGGTGGGTGGGGGTGTTTAATGCTGGCTAGTCAGGGAGGATTCCTAACCCATTGCCCAGGTCAAAAGTTTATGCACATCATCTCACAAGCGTCCTAAGAGTGATGGGTGGGAGAGGAAAGGTGGGAATAGGAGATAGTAATACGATGGAAGAAGTAAGAGGGATAAATTCTAGCGATAGGTATAATAGTAATTGGGAATGTTTTTTTTTGTTTTGTTTACTATAAAAAAGAAAAGGTTAAAGTTGAATTGCATATATTTATGTTGGAGTTATCACTACTAATTCTGTAATCAATAGAAGTATTTTGTAAATTAATAATTTTAGAAGTGGTGATTTCTTCTTAGTATGTTGGATATATAAGTTTAGAGATATATAAGGCACTAGCAGCATGGCCCGGCGTTGCCCGTGCTTGATTCAAAAATCGTACAACTCATACAGCAATCGCTATCACTTGACTTAAAATATTTTTTCTCTTCCTTGCCTTTAAAGGAGTGCCCTTTGCCATGCTGATGTTGCTACATGCCTTACTTCTTGCCTATCTCACACTGCGAATTTTTCTAAGCTCTATACTAAACATTAAATCTGTTACGGAAAAAGAACTAAACAAAATGAACACAAAACGATCAGTTTTAAAAAAGGATTCGTAACTGGAAAAACCGAATGAAAAAAGAATGTTAACAACAAATACTTTTTCACACATTAACCCAGTTCTGCGGAATCAGAATCGACGTTGAGTTTAAGCAAGCGAATGAGCCAATTGGAGTAAAGTGCCATGCAGATTTAAATTTTACCCACTTGTGACGAATGCAGCTATCGAATTTTTTTGCATGCTAGCATGCTAGTTAACATTCGTGTCAGTCAGCTGTTGGCTCTCATGCTGGCCAATAGAATCTTCCTGCCTATTCGTTGCAGCCAGCTATAGGCTCTCACTCTGGCCAGTAAAAAATGGCCGCAAACTACATGAAAACTGCCGTAGAAGCATGAAAAAATCGATTATTTCCACTATCGACGGGAGTTGGGAAATGCAAAGTCAGTCTTGGCCTTTCCACTAACTTGGAGCATGTGCATGTAAATTTTGGTGCAAATCCGTCGAAAATTGCGGCCGTGCACTCGTTACATACACACACACACACACACATCCTGCCTTAATATATATATATATATATATATATATATATATATATATATATATATATATATATATTGTATTGTATTGTATTGAGCACTTTCTATTATTATTTTAGCTTTTAGTAGGGAGAGCTTTACCTTTGATTGTGGTAGATGCTATTTTCAGTACCCTAATTATTTTATTAGATGCTTTTGTCAGTACCTTAATTATTTTATATTCAATGTTTTTTTTTGTGGGGGGTTAAGCATTTCACCCCAAACAAGTCAGAAGTGCCATTATCACACAGGGGGGTTATGGAGAGTGAAAATGACAGAAAAGAGTGGGTGTGTGGGGGATTGAAGAAAGGAAAAAAAGAACAGGTATCAACGCAACAAAACATGGTGACTGATGTTGCATTAAGGTTTTTGATGATTGTAGTTATCAGGGAAGCAAGTGAGAGGAATGGAGTTCCAATATGGAGAAGTGCGAGGAAAGAAACTGTTAAAAGGGCGGTTATAGTTAACTATTTCAACAGTAAAAAGTTGGGACCTAGATGCTAATCTAGTAGTACACTTAAATTCATGTAGTCAGGGCACCAGGGAAAAAATGCTCATTAGTGCAGTAGCCATGAAAATATTTGTAGAAAAGACAGAGGGAAGCCACATCACGTCTGTGAGAAAGCGGATGAAGTCAAGAAGCTAATTCAGTACTGATTACATTACAGATCCTACTTTAGATTTTTTTTGAGAATATTGCAGTAAGGGAAGGTAGGGGAAAATTTTATGGATAAAACTTTAACTGCGCAACCAGTAATAAAAATCACAGAAATGCAATCTATGTTGTTATTCATTTAAACATCATCATCATTTAATAGTAATAAAAAAAATATATATATATATATTTAAAGTAATAATAATAGTAATAAAAGTAATAGACAGATACACACATATACAATACACACATACATACATATATATATAAACTTACATAGTTACAAACCTAATACATATTTTTCAGTGTTTGATGCAAAATAAATGTCTATTTTTAAGACTATATAAACTTATTTTAATGACATTTTTTTTTCTTCCAGGCATAGTTTGAATTTGTTTATATATATATATATATATATATATATATATATATATATATATATATATATATTACGATCAAATATTGATAGGAATGCAAGAGAATGATAGGATAGGGACAAATAGGAAATCTTTATAAATCTGACATGCTTTGCTTTTATTAACACTTGAGATGTGGTGGTTTATTTTCCACGAGGATCGGTCAGGTGAAGGTCAGAGGGGAGCACGTCGCGAGAATGAGATGTGACACAAGGTCGGATTAATGTGGGGGACACGAGCGTGTACACTCGGGCAGGGACAAAAATTCCCCTCTCTCGTGGGAAGAAATCGGCTGTGTTTATGGCAGCTGATGTTAGCATCGTAGCTGGTTGGCAATATCTTTTAGTTGATGACTAAAAATTAACTTTCGAATTTTGACTGTACATATGGGTTTCATTTGGACACCAGGTATATTTAAAGTAGTTTCCGGTTATTATTTTTAGTTAGGAGGACTTGTGTATGTTTAGGTTTCATTTGTTTACTTTTTGTGTATCGTTCTCTGAAAAAAAAAAACGCTGAGTCACCGGAACTTAACGGCGTTCGGACATTTGAGTAGCCGGCAGTAACTTCCGGCCGGGTGCGATACACTTAACCGTGCTTTCAAATTGATTTCGTGCAACAACAATTGTGTTTTTCCAATTCTTGGCGCTGTCAGAACTACCGCCGGGTAATTTTACGTAGTCCTGTGAAGTTTTGTTGAAATCGGTTGAAAAATGTAGGAAATACGATCCCATATATAAACGTACAGACACACACAATCTGCGTTTTATAATAAGTAAGATTTAGAAATTAAATAGAAGTAGAAGAAAAAAAATGTTTAGAGTTATGGAATTAAGAATTTATCAATTCCATAACACTAAACGTTAAAAATTACAACTCACCTCCTTTGATATATTTCTTATCTTGTTATGTACCTCACCACCAATATATCTTAGATTAGGATTTTTAAAATATTTTCCTTATTTTTATTTTTTGCATATATATTACTAGTAATACTTTCAGATAAATTGTTTTATATCTATACTTATTCTACACGTTATACTGTCCGAAAATAGATAATGAACAGAATGGGATAGATAGATAGATAGATAGATAGATAGATTCTTAAAAGTATGAAGATACTTAGATAGATGGATAGATAGATATGAGTATTTTTAGATTACGTTTCTTAAAATAATTTCCTTATTTTTTTTGCATATATATTACCAGTAATACTTTCAGATAATTTTTTATACCCATACTTATTCTACACGTTGTACTGTCCGAAAATAGATAAAAAATAGATTATAAATGTTATATTAATATGCCATAATTTTTTTTTTCACTTTGTAATAAGTAAACTGTTTTTGTCTATATGATAAAAATATATATATATATATATATATATATATATATATATATATGGGAGAGGGAGGAGGGATTTATTTATAGGTTGATATTTTTTTGTCTTTTATAGCTTATCTGTATTTTATAGCTTATTTCAAGCCGGAAAATATTGATCCGGGTCCTACTAATTAATCCATAGTTGGAGAGAAGAGAGACGAGGTGAATTCATGTCTTTCAACAGCTACCAGTCTATTCCTGTATGTCTCAACTAATGATCTGCAGACATTGAGTGGTATTTTGTCTCATTCTTCTTGGCATATTGTCTTCAAATTCTTGATATTTGTTGGTGCTCTTTTCCCAATTTGAATTTTCAAATATCGCCATAAATCCTCGATTGGGTTCAAGTCTGGGGACTGATTTGCCCATTGCAAGACATCAACGTTACTTTCAGCTAACCATTTCCTTGTATATCTAGCGGTATGCTTAGGATCGTTATCCAGTTGGAAAACCCAATCCAGTAGCCGAACTCTCTCAACAGAACGCATTAAATTGTCTTGCAGGATTTTCTGGTAGCTTTCGGCATTCATCTTGCCATCTATTATTGATATTCTGCCAACACCTTTTGCAGAAAAACAGCCCCAGATCATGATACTGCCACCACCAAACTTTACAGTTGGCAACGTGTTCTTTGGTAAGTAGGCTTCACCGTCCTTCCTCCACACATGATGTCGATAATTATGATCAAACAACTCTATTTTAGTTTCATCTGTCCATAGTACTTTTTCCCAAAACGAATCTTCTTTATCCTTATGCTCTCTAACGAATTTTAGCTTAGGATCTCTGTGTCATTTCAAGAGGAGTGGAGTCTTCCTTGGGATGCGCGATTTCAGACTGTTTTTGTGTAGTTCATTACTTATTATACGCTTGGTTACTTTAATCCCTAATGCACGCAGATGTTTCTGCAGCTATTCTCGAGTAACCTGTGGATTTTGTTGGATCTGGCGTCCTAATATCCTTGCTGATCTTAGAGAAATCTTCCTCGGAGCACATGTTCGTCTTTGGTTTTCAACGCTGTTACGAATTTTAAACCTTGCGATGAATGAAGCAATTGTAGTAAAAAGAATATTCAGGTTGTTAGAAATCGTACTGTAACTGTTCCCATTTTTCCAAATAGACAAAATGTGTTGTTTTTGTAAAATAGTCAATTCTTTACCTTTAGGCATTATTAGAATCTTCTCGTAAGACTAGAAATTGCAGAATGTTCTGATAATGGCTAATAGCGTTAACTATAATTACTGATAACATTACTGGAACATTCTAGAATATACTTTTTCATAATTAATTGATTATTTTATTCTAATAATTGATTAGTACGAATAATTTTTTTTCACCAGTTAAAATTTAAAAATGCATAAATTTCTGTTAGAATAAGAATTAATTAAGTTTATTATTATTTTTAATAGTATGTGACTTTATACATAAAATGTGCCGAGATTTGTTTTATTTAAGGCTTTTACATTTATAAAAAAGTGTACGAATATTTATTTCCCCACTGTACATATATATATATATATATATATATATATATATATATATATATATATATTGACCTGAAGATTGCCATACTTTGTTGATCTTACAAACCATTTTTACCCATTTCCACGCACATTTTCTCGGGCATTGAGTACTTGTATCTATAAATATAGCATACAAAAAATCTATATTTTCCACACACACACACAATGGCATATATATATATATATATATATATATATATATATATATATATATATATATATATATGTATGTGTGTATGTATAAATATATATATTTATATATAAATATATACAAACATATGGATATATATATATATATGAAAAAAAATACTGAAAAAACAAAATTCTGAAATATGCATTATTAATGTTTTAAAGTCGACGTCGGACGTTTCGGTCTATTTAAAACCATCTTCATGGACATTTTCATTTAAACATAATTAACATTATAACTTATAACAATTTAACACAAAAGACGATGGGCATAAGAAGCCCACGTAATTCCAACAGATAACTGAAATTTTATACAGATCAGCG